TGATAGAAAGTGGTATATAATAATCGAAAATATTTACTTTGTAAAAGCACTAATGTCCTTCCACTTGCTCTTTATAAAGACAGTTTTTTGTTACCATAAAATGTTGCATTTATCAACTCTTGGCAAGAATGAGATGTTCTTGATGTATTTTTAAACCATAAAAAAAATTTTGTTACCATAAAAAAAATTTAAATTTGGTTCAACCATACATTTACAATTTATGTTAGAGTAAGTATTTAAGTAAAGATAAATAAATAAAAAACTCTTGAAAACTTTTTAGTTTATTAAAGTAAATTTTATTAAATAAGATCGTTTTGTTTTTGTTTACAAATTAAACTAAATTAATTATTTTTTGTTAATTAGTGTATTCCTTAATCTGTTTTAAAATTGAAATCCTTTAATAATTATATGTATTTGAAAAAAACTGAGTTATTAAATCCGAAAAATAATTACTTGAAAATTAAAATAAAAGGAGATGACAGTGCTAAAGCATGGAGTCAACTAATCTAATATAAAACCTGAACCTCTATAAATGAGCATTAAAAAAAAAATTTTGCATAAAATTTTCTTTTATGCAAAGGTTTTTTTTTTCTAAATAAATAAAACACTAATTAAACGGGGTTCAAAACTATTTTATTAGCTAACTAGACTATTTAGGAAAATAGAGAATTTAGTAATCAAGTAAATCCTGTTCTATACTATCAGTTTAAACAGAAAGCATCCTCAGTAAATGTTTCTAGCTGAATCACAGGTAAACAAACATACTGTGAGGTGCCTTTTCTCTCTTTCACTTTAAATTTAATTTTTTGCATTTTATAATGCTTTGACTACACTCAACTCTTTCAAGACATTGAGTTCAGTAAGGACCTTCTGATTTATTTATTCTTTTTTTTGTTCATTAAAAATTCTCCCTCTTCCAAAAAATCCAAGTAGTAATTTTTCATTTGAAAATCATATGCATTTGAAAGCAATTTTAATATTTTTTTTGTGTTGAGAAGGGACGCGAGCATGTAATTGCATTAAATCATATGAAAAATCCTAAATTTATGCATAAAAAAACCAGGTGTTAAATGCAAATGGGCATGTTCTTCTACTTCAAATCTTCTTAAAAAAATTTTTTCTTTCTAGGTTATGTTAACTATTTTTGGAATAAAATTTAATGTTTAGTTTCAAAAATTTTAATATTAATTTCTTTATATATTTTGTTTAGGATAGTATCCTAATCCGTAAACTACATTCTATCGCATAATTGTCTCAATTGTTACTTTAAAAAAAGGAAAAATACGAGCTGTTAAATGTTGTATTAACATCACAGGGAAGAAAAAATTGTAGTTATATTGTCATTCTTAACCGAATGAAGATACTTGTGATATGACGTATATTATAATTTTGGGTAAACTGTCTAAGCGATGAAAATACTATTTACATCTTCACAAGATATCTTTTTCAGGCCATGCAACATTGCCACTTATTAATTGACGATTTTTATTTTGTTAATTTTTATTCTGTTTTTATTATTGTGCTAGTTTTGTATATTTTTCTCTTTTTTTTGAATTGTTGAATGTATTAAAAAATATAATTTAGTAGTGCAATTAATGCTAAAATTATTATTATTTTTATTTTTTTTTTCGCTGCAAATTATCCTGATAAATTAGCCTCCCATGAATTCCTTTAAATTCTTTTAAACTTTGTTGCAAATTAACCTCTTACATAATTTTAATTTATTTTATAATGTGTTGCTTTATCTGGTTAATTCACATAATTTTCTTACTAGCAAAAGAAAGAGTTTTAAATGGCCATTTATCATTAAACATATCATTCAGTTGCAAACAATTTTCATAATCTTAATTCATAAAACCAAGGCTGAGAAAACCCCTATGGATATTTTAAAAAATGGTTTAGTGATAAGTAAAAGACAGTTATATCAGAAAAATACTCAATATTCTTTCCAACCCAGTATCTCTCTTTTCATTTTTTTACAATTTAAGTTTGACCATTCTCATACAAAAAATGAGATGGCTTTTAGTTATTGCTTATCAGTTGGCACAAAACTTTTAATTCGAAAAGGAACACAGAGCCAGAACTTAAACCAACCAGTCAATGCGAATCTTAAGTCCATATGAGAAAATGTAAGAGACTATAATAATGACAGTAGTAACAGAATAAAAAGGTTGGATAGTAACAGAAGAAAAAGGTCGGCAAACTTACTCCTTTTTTTGTCATTTTTGAAAGAAAGAAACCTCTGAAATATGGGTTTTATTGGTTTCTTTAGATGGATTTTTTTCTTTAAAACACCCACCAAGATTTTTTTGGGCAGGTGGGTGGGCAGACAGCTCTGAGTAAAAGTTGAAATTTATAACAGTTATAATTGTATCAAAAACTATTAGGATCTAAGGGAGCTATTGATAAATTAGACTTTTTGTGTGAAATAATTCTAATAATCCTATGCAAAAAGTAATTTTTCACTCTTCCCACTTCGGATTAGATTTTTCTTATGTTGATAATGACATTCCTCTTGCTTCAGGCTAACAAGGTGCTAAATGTTGATCAGATGAAGTGTATAAGGCACTCTGTAGGCACATAGATCAACATTAAATCTTAAAATCAAACACAAAGAGAAACCTCTGGGTAAACGCGCTTTTTTCCAATGGATTAGATTTATGACCCTCAAAATATCGAGGATAGCCGCAACCTGATGTTCTCAACAGTTTTGCCAGAAGAGCGACCTCAAGTTTACACCCCTTTTATGTTAATTTTGCACATTAATTTTAATTTTTGCAAATTTTGCCATATCTTGAGAATTTTTTTAACGAATTTAAAAAATTTTTGCACATAATTTTGAAATTTGCTTATTAAAAGATAATTCCACACAAAAAGTTTTTTTTTAATAAGTATTTATTATTTTATTTAATAATAGTCAAAAAAATTTTAATATTTAGAATTTTAATAGTTTTATATAATTTTGATGACTGTAATTTTATAGCTCAAAATACAAAATTTGAATGAAATTGGTGAAATAGTTCCTGCAAAATCATGTTTTAAAAAAAGTTATATGTTTGAATTTAAATCTGTTTTTATCTTTTATTTGTACAAAAATGAACATTTTCTTTGAGCCTTGCATTTATAGCTTTTTTCAATTTTTTAGTGGCCCTTTTCTTTTGATCCTATTACTTAATAAAATTTTGTTCTCAAACGAAAAACATGATTGCCATGACTTATAAAACATATTAAAGCAATTTTTACGTATTTACATAGTTTTTAATGATTATGGTAACAAAGCAGAATTTATAATTTACATTGTCAAATTTTTTTTCATGAAAAAGAAGTACTATATTTATTTATAGAAGTTTTATATTTATAATTCAATTTCTCAGAGACTATTGGACCCACTTCATTCAAATTTTGCCTTTGCCATTCCTTAAAATATTGTAAAAACTTTCATCCGTTTACTTTACAATTCAAATATATTTTTCCAATTGTTTTCTAATAAAATAAATAGTAATTGTTAAAAAAAATCTATTTTTTTTTTGTGGAATTATCTTTGGATTAACGAATTTTATAATTGTGTGCAAAATTTTTTTGATTTGTTTAAGAAATTCTTAAAATGTGATGAAATGCACAAAAAGTAAAATTAATATTAAGGGGCAAAACTTTGGACCGCTCCTGGCATAGTTTTTTTACTTCCTAATAATTGGAAAAAAGGTATGCTTATTCAGTGAAAGTAAGTTTTTGTATATGATTTTATAAATCAAAATGTCGTCTGTTCTAATTAATTAACATATTTGAGGTCACCATTTTGAACCAGTAAGATAGAGTCTTAGTGTGTGAAAATCTTCCTTTCATTATGAAAGGCCCGATATCCATGATTTTTTTAATTTGGAACAATTAGTTCCAAATTTTGAATTAATTTCCATGATTATAAAAAATTACATATTTTTTATATACTATCATTTTGAATACAACATATTATATAATTTCCAAAAAGTGAGAAAACCAATGAATTAGCACGAAATTATGACTTATTAATGAATATCCATGTATATTTTTGAATTCCGCATTTCCTTAAAGTTAATTTTTATTTAAGAAAAAAAAAAAAAATTCTAATAACAATAGTTTTTTTTTTCCTTACCAAATTAGCAAACCACTTTTAAAAACTTTCAATTTTTACTTTCACAATTTAAATTCAATATTTGCTTGAAGTTTATCTTGAGAAGAACAGAAAATTTTGCCCTTGCTGCCCTCTAAAATATTTTTGTAATCTTGTGGTGCAACAGTTTTTGGTAGTCAGGTTTAGATATGCAAATAACTTAAAAGAAGAAAGATTGTTTAATATCCTTTGTTTTCTTTTATTTATTTTTTGTCATTTCCTTTTTTATGTATTAATTCTTTCAATATTTATAAATCTTCAATCATTTCATCATTTCAAAACATGGGGGTAAAATGAAAACTGAAGCAAATTAAGACACAACAATGGTACAAATTTTGTGTAAACAAGTAGGCACTGAAACTTTGTTTATAGACTTCCTTTTTTTGCATAATTTATAGTTAAATACTTGTGTAAGAGTCCCACTTTTTCATTCATCTTTGCTTGATCATTTCACAATGATTATGAAAAATAATGTTTACATTAAAATGTATCTTATTTTTTACTGAAAATATTTACTAAATTTTTAAGCTAAAAAGGACTTTAATTTTAAAAAAAAATGGAAAAGATATATTAATTGTTGAAATTTAGTATGCAGATTTTTTTTTCAAGACTGATTTCAGTTCCCAGGACTGAACAGTGACACCGTTGGACAACTTATTTGCAGTGTGATCACAATGCATTTTTAGCACACATCAATTGAGGGGTCAACTCAAGGAAATATACCCAAAACCCATTTTAAAGTTAAAATTTGGTAGTTATATGTTGGAAAAAAGTGTTGTTGCCTATGATATTTTAAACTTCATAATCTCAATGGTTTTTCTATAAATGTAACATTTTTGAACTTTTATTTCAGGTCTAGTGAAAATCGCAGCTGGCTTAGATGTGGACCTCTTGCCACCAAGGAAAAAGGTCACCGTTTTATTGTTAGGAAATCATTCAGCAGGGAAAAGTTCTTTTATAAATTGGTAAGGCTGTTTAACTTTTCATGGTAAATATTTTATGATTTAAAAGATATAGTCTCTTTTTCCCAAGTTTCCATTTTGAAGTAAAAAAGTACTTTCAAAGAAAGTGAGCATGTGTATTGTATTGTAAACAAAGTTTTTGTGTGTATTGTAAACAAAATAAAGCTTAAATTTTAAAACCTTGGATAGGATAAAAATTTGCTATTATTGCTTCCCCTAGGGTGAAATATGCTCCCTAAAAATTTTAATTCATTTACTTAAGATAATAAAACTTTTTAGTTCCTTTGAATGCATGGTGTGGTTAAGCAATCTCCTTTCTAACAGAGATCAACAATTCAAAACCCAGCTAAGAGATTTTATGTATATTTCGCATCTTAAAATATTGATAAGGAGTTAGTATATTTTATTCAAAAATAATTTTTTAGAAAATATAAACTTTTTAAAAGCAAAAAAATGAGTTGATTGCTCATTAAATTCTTTTTGATAGGTACTAATTCATACTGCTTATTAGATCTTTCAAAATAATTCTTTGTTAAACATAAGATTAAATACCTATCACTGAAACTTTAATAGGTGTGTTATTTTAGTGTATTAAAAAATTTAAAAATGAAACATTAGCACTAGCTTAATAATTACAAGAAAGAAAATGAAATGATTGTATTCAGATAAGCAACTATAATCAAATGATCGATTATTTTCCATGACCATTTATTTTTAGTGAAAAAATACTACTATTGACTTGCAAAAATATTCTTCTAGCGAGTTTGAATAAAAATTTCGCTTCCCATAGGACACATAACTTTTTTCAACATCCCTCTCTGCAACTATTGCTGTATATCTTAAAAGGAATCAATGTCTTATTTGTTTTGTATTTTATTTATACTAAAGTAGAAAGAGTAAGCAGAAAGACCAAAATGTAAGTTAAGGACAATAACTTAGCACTTTTTATTGTAGCCTCTTTTGTGTTCTAACATTAGAAAAATGGTCAATCGACGGTCAAATTTTTTAAAAATAAGCTTTAAAAGATAATAAGCTTTTTTTTTTTTCTGATTTTGTATTCAAATTTCATTGTTTTTTCAGGTACATAGAAGAGCATATTTTGAAAACAGGTGTTGCTATTGAAACACAAGGTTTTGCTTTTGTGACAAGTGGGAAAAAACGAGAAACATTAACTGTAAGTAAGCATTTACTTATTAAATTAATTGTTTTTGTTATAAATACTTAAATTATATTTTGGAAATTTTGCTTCCTAAACTAATGACTTTTACTTGCAAACTTCAAGTTATCTCTTCTGAAATAACTTTTTTTTAAAAAAAAATTTTTTATTAGTACATTATAATTTGACAATTTCAATTGCATGATAGGATTTGTGTCAAGCAAGTTTTCCTAGAAACTTCGGTTTTATACCTCAGTTAATTACTAGAAATATTATACTTGTATATTTTGTATAAAAAGTATGGAAAATGTGTTTGTTGGTATTAAAGGCATTACTGTTTTTCTTTCAAGTATACCAACTATTTTATTAAGATGAGTGAAAAAGATTTCCCTTTTTAATTTATTTTTATAAACCATTTTTTACCCATTAAATTTATATATTAAAACTCTTTATTTTTCAGGTTATCATATTATCAGGATTAATATTGTTTAGATGATTTCTATTATTACTCACACAATTCTAGTTTATCTGTTGTTTTCTCCCTAACTTTCATAGCATTGTTATAATAAAATTAAACACTTGATCGACAGTGCTAAATTCTGTAGCAGATCTGGATGATGATTTTTTGTTATGCTTCATTAAAACAGATTTTTAATTTCTATTCATGTTCCCTAACTTTTCTTAGATGTGTGCATGATTTTCTCAAATTAAAATTTAAATCCTAGAAAAATAGTCAAAATAACCCCATGATACATAATTTGACTATAGTAGTTTCACTGATATAAAGTGCTACTTCTGACCACTAATAAATACAATATTAGACGGCACTTTTTTGGATATAAATGTGTGAGCTGATGACAAGATTATATATTGTTGTTAAATTTCCTAATTTTTAAGATTTTTAGTAATTTTTTGTTTTAAAATCTTTTTTCTTCTTTTATGTATATTTATCATTTATGTATTTATCATTTATATATTAATATAGGAGTGAAATTTTATTTTTAATTTAGGGCAATGCCACTTTGCATCTGTACCCGCACTTTAAACCTCTAGAGAAAATAAAAGGTAAAGTCTAATTTCCTTTCTTGCACCTTTTTATTTTAGGTAAATTAATCAAAATAAAAAACCTTGAAAAAAAATTAATGAGCCATTAGTGTATGTATTTTCAAGATCAGGTCTATTTAACATCTGTTCAGTCATGCAGGCACATTCAGATGCAGGTCAATGATTCTAACAGGTGTTTTGACTTCCTGCTTTCTTCTATAATTCCTTTTTATGTCTTTTAATGAATTCTAGTTAATACAATAAAGCTTTTTTTTTTAAACTTTAATTCTGTTTTTATATCTGCTGTAAAGTATTTTTGTATTCTACATCTTTTAATTGTGTTTTTTACTTATTTAATTACCTAAGTGATCTAATTTATGTAAATAAATTTGTCTTATCTCTGTTTTAAGGACTGCTTAGTTTTATTTCATATTATAATTAGTTGTTCTAAGACTTAACAACATTTTTTACTATTTCACCGTAGAATGAATTCATTATTATTGATTCCAGGAAACACTAAATTAAAAACTCTACTATTATTATTTTTTAAACTGTTATGTCTTTAAAAGTGAATTTTTTTATTACCGTAGGCTTTGTTTTTGTACTGATTTTGTATTTGTGTCAAAAAAAAAATTCTATTTTCTAGTAATGCATGATTTCAATATGATTCTATTTCTATTTGATGATTCAACTGGATGTGTAGCATTTTTAAAAAGTGCTTATAGGTGCTTATTTTTGATTTACGTTTTTTAAAAGTCCTTAAAGGTGCTTTTTTTATTGGGGGTTTGTAAAAAGCGCTTAATTTTCTATCTTGCAAAATGTGATTTTTTCTTGCTGTGTCGATTGTCGTCATAAATTACAGAAAAAGCTTGATTTTCACAATTTTCTCTGCAGTATTTATCAGAAACAAGTTATTTTATCATGATTATGTACTTTCTTTGAAAAGAATTGTGCATTTTGTTGATTTTATGTTTATAAATTAAAGACTTTAATCAGTAGAAAGAAATATTTCTTATTTATTCATATCACAATTATGCTTTATTCTTTTTTTGTAAAGTGATTAAAAATATTTTTTAAGTGCTTCAAAGGTGCTTATTTTTTGTTGAAAAATTTGGCGACGCACCCTGTTCAATTGATTTAAATGTTTTGTTCCAATATCTTTTTATTTTAATTAATAAAAAATTCTGAAATTAAAGACTGGCACAAACCGTACCTGAGCTGATACCTCTTTTTATAAATTTCAATGCAGATATACATCGGATTCAAATGCCTATTCCCAAATCCTCTATCAATTCTTGGTTACGTTGTTTTTATGTCTGCTGCTTTTTTTTAAATTTATACACAAAGACTTGGATGGAAAAGTTGCCACTCAGTCTAAGATGCTGAAGAACCCTGATTTATTGTAAGAAGAGCAGTCCATCATCGGGTTGCTAGCTTTTTTTATAATTGCCAGCTGCCCTGTGAAGGGCTGTTCTTTTTACTGTTTATTCAACACTGCCTGGATCTCTTCATCTATACTGAAGTAACCTGGATGGCTCCATGGAGTTGCAACACTTTACATTACGAGATTCACATTCTGTCACTTCATTACTGGAAGTATTGTATTATAAACTTCCTTTTTTCTTATGGGATTGAGAAATGTTTTTGTGATATCAAACTTGTGGTCATAAGTAACCTTTCACCGTGTTTACTTAGCTTGAATTTCTTTTAACTGTCATACCTGGAATAATCTTAGGCACAACGCTGGTCTTTCAAACTGTCGCATCCGAGTATTACTCAGGAGTAATTTTTTTGTTTTGTTGAGTGCATATTGTTATACTCGAATATATATAGGGAGAAGTTCGTTCCGGCTTCTACGCTTTGTCAAACCTGAATTTATCTCAAGAAAAGCTATTTTAGGCGTAAATTAGAACATTAGATGACAGCACTTTACTGGTGGTTTTAAATGATAGAGGTTTATGTTCAAAGTGCAAGACATTTTTTTTTGTTGCAAAATGGCATCCAGTTTTTTGAAAAGTTATATAGATTATTAATTTTTTTAGAAAACAATGCTCCACAAGAAGCGAACTTTACCGCTGCTACGCTGAGTGGCAGTCGCATCAAGCGAATTGGCAGTGACTACGAAACCTTTAAATTTTTATGCATGTTATTCAAAATATCAATTTTCAACTATGTATATTTTATTTTGTACCAAACATTTGATTTTTGTGGGGGGAAAAGAACGAAAAAAAATTAAAATTTATGTATCCAAATCATCAAAATAACTTGACAGCTAAAAGGTTAATACCTGATTCTAATTTTGTTCAAGCGAATTTGATCTATACTTATAGTAAATAAATCTACATGATTGATTAATCCAATTTTCAATGATGTTTCAGGTTACCAATTTTTCATTGTAGTATTATTTTACATATTTCCTGCATTTTCATAGCTGCTAACATTTGCATTTTTTTCTAGACATGTTTTTACTAGTATGTGAAATTAATATTACATTAATAATTGTAAGCTGAAATTTTTGTTAAGTTTCATGAGCACCTAAACACAATATGAAATGATTTTTGTGCCATTAATATGTATGTTTAACGTGCTCACAGAGTTTTTTAAAAAATTTTCAATTTCATCAGTATTAAAATTTCAGGGAATTCAATTACAATACTAAGTAAGCACCCAAACTCAATTTAATTGTAAGCATTTAAAAATAATATTTTTTCCGAAAAAATAATTAGTACAAAATTTGAAAAATATTATCTAGCACTAACTAGATTTTAGTTCAATTTATATCAATAAATGAACATCTACTAAAGAAGCATTTTATTTTATCAATTCAGTTATATTATTACATTTATAGAATTTTATAAAAATTTATAAATTTTGAAAAATATTTTTTAAAAAATAATTTAATATTTATTAAAATATTAATCACTATCAAAATCAAAGTTTTTTTCTCTCTATTTTCAAAAATGTGTCGTTTCAATTAGAGTTTTATTCAAATATTTTCTTCAGTGACTAAAAGTTTCTCTTACAGAGACCTCCGCATGTATCATAAATAGTAGTAGTTTAAAATAAAATGCTTGTGTCATTAATTACATTCCTTCACCTGAATTTTTCTACCTAATGTTTGTTTAATTTATTCTTGTAATAACTTAGTTTTTTTTTTGGCATTATTTTTGACAATTTTGACTGTAAGTAAAAGTGTTCTGCCATATATTTTATCTGCTTAAAAAGGACTTCACTAAGAAATTAATAATAAAATTTATGCATTCAGTTACAAAACCCAGGATAATTTATTTTTACTGAGTGTTTGTAGCCACCTTGATGTTTAAATTATTTATTATAAATGGTCAAAATCAATTTGAGTCAAATTTATTAAATTTAAAAAAAAAATATGAGAGCTTACACTTCAGTATAGCATTGAATAAAAATAATTCTAAACTGAAAAAATTTGCTCATAGTTACATATTTTTGTTTATTTTTTTTACAGGTCTCTTGGATTTTATCTCGACAGAAATCTCTACATCTAAGCAGAAGAAATTCAGTCTCGTGACTTTTATCGACACACCCGGATTGGTCGATGGGGAAATGAATTATCCTTTTGATGTTAATAAGGCCATACAATTTTTAGGTACATATTTTAATTTTCAATTGAATATGTAGGTAGTAATACTTTAAGCTTATATATATAAGTTGATGTTGTTTCAATTTAACAATATTGCTGTAATTGATCTTCCACATAACGTTTTTTAGAATGCTTTTTTTTGTTCAAATTATTTTGCAGAATGAAAAGAGAAGGATATTTATTATTAGATTAATATACACCATATTAAGACTCTAATGTAAATTCATTAATTATCATTATTGAGTAAGTATCTCAAAAAGTATGCACAAATTTTATTTGAAAATTTAGAATCTCAATTAATCAAATTTTAATTAATCAATTGTTTCCAGCTTAATATTTGTAATGTGTAGTATATATAATAAATAAAAAATGATATAAATATATAAAGTATATTTTCATATATGTATATATTTGCATAAAGTAAATGTTACCATGTGTTATAATTGCATCAAGAACAAACTTTTCTGGCAAGGATATCTTTTTAAATGTATAATTCTGATTTGATATGATTTCGATTAAAATGTATCCTTTCGTAAAGTAGAGCAATTCGATACTTTTTGCAGTCACTTTGTATTTTAAAAATTTCCCAAACTTTTTTTTTTAATTCTTAATTAATATTTTATCAAATAAATTTGTGATTTTTGTACTTTAAATAAAATTAATGGATAAGTTCTAATTTAATGTGATATATAATCTATTGAAACTTCAATTTGACAAAATTTGTTTCCTTCTGCCCATTTCCATTTAATAACTGCCATTAATTGCAGCTCTACTGTATACCATTAATATTCATTAATTTAATTAAAATGAATTCATCTTTTTTGTTTATTTATCATGCCTATCTTGTATTTTCATTTTACTAATATTTATTTTAAAAGAATACTTCGGTTCTCCTTTCAGGAAATATAGCCGACTTGATTTTTGTCTTTTTCGACCCCATTGGCCAAGCTCTTCGTAAGCGCACTCTGAATGTAGTAGAAGCGCTGAGTGCTAAACATAGTGATAAAATCAAATTGTACCTGAGTAAAGCTGATGAGGCTGGTAATGAAACTGATAGACAGGTAACAATCAGTTGTTATTAAAACAATTCTGTTTTTTGAAGAAGAAAAAATTTCTGAAGAAACCTGCATTTAACATTAGTTAAATACAGGTTTCATGACTCTGAGACACCCTATCAATTTTACCTCTTTTCCTTTTGTATATACAGTAGAATCCTGATTATCCGAGTTAATGTGGATCACTACTAACTCTGAAAATCGAAAAACTCGGTTAAAGCAAAGAGTATATAAAGGGGAAAGAAAAGAGTAGGCATAAATGTGATATATTTAACAAGTACAAAATTTATACGAGTGCACCACATACAATTCTTATTCTAATTAAAAAGCTTACTTAAAAACATTTAAGAAGCATACTATACGAGAATTAAAGAGTCTTTACTTATAAAAGTCATCAATTGTTTTCTGATTTACATTATTTTGGTGCTTTTCTCCAGCAATGATTTGCCATATTTTTTTTGGGGGGGGGGGATAACAGAAAGACTGGCATCGTCTCTTGTTCTATATAATTAATAACACTTTTGATAGCTTTAATCCATCTGTATGAGTGATTTTTATATGTTGATTTTTATCATCACTGTCTTCATCATCTTCGCTTGATTCATTTCCTTATTAACGATATTAATGATAATTTCATCGAATCACCTTGTTGGATTTCGTTTTCCTGAGTGTTTAGAAGATAAAATTCAGGTTTTTTTAAAATCAAATTATAAACTAGAACAATAAAAATCCTTGAAATATCTGATAGCTTGGATAAAGCGGAAACTCGGATAGTCGGGATTCTACTGTAGTTTTTTTTAAAAAATTCTTCATGAGACAATTTATTGTTTTGAATTGATAATAAAATTTATATTCTACAGAATTATAAATGTTTTTAATTTTTTCCCCTTTTAATTCTATATTTAATCAAGATGATTGTTTTATTTGCCGTATAATGTATAAGAATCTTTTTTTCTAGAAAGTTCTGATGCAAATTGTTCAAGAATTATGTAAAAGGCCAACACTCAATAGGGCAGGGTTAGACTTGTCCACAATTTATATACCCAATCCAAATAGAGTAAGTTTTTTTGTGTTGTTATTTATATTTGCAGAGCTTTAATTATAATTAATAATTAGTAAAAATGAATTATTTTTATCTTTTTTACATCTAGTATTTTTTGTGTTAAAAAGTTATATAAATTTTTGTATATGTATCTTAAAATTTTGTCATATTGTTTAATTTCACTTTCAGATAGTGCATCAAACACTACTGTCACTCTTTACTTGCGAAATTTATGGAAGAAATTAGCTTTCTGCCTGCTATGACCTACCTTAGAATTAATCTGGAATTTTTTTAAAGTTATAATTGAAATAATTCTTAAAATGTCGAAATTAATCTAATTTTGACTACTATATCGTTAGTGACCTCAATTATAAAATGCTGTATATTATCATAAATTTTAAAATTCTCTGTAATTATTTTACAAATTAGATATTACGATTTTTAACACCACCTATTTTTAAATTACTGTCTTAAAATGGGTTAATTCTCTAACAGAGCTAGTGGGGCACATTTTGCATTTCATCATCTTTACAGTTAAAAACTTTCACACGATTTAGAATTGTAAATTTTTAAAAACTATCTAGTTCCTACTTTCCAAAAAAATATAAATATATATAATAATAATTATAGATTTTTAATAAATAATTCTGCCTTTAAAGTAATTTTATGGTAATGTAGTAACAAACAGTAGTTAAAATGGTAATTAGTCCAGATATTTTTGTGAAAGGTCCTGTTTTATGAAATTATAAAAATTCTATTCGTAATTTTAGCAAAATGGATTCATTTTGTGACCAGAGATATGTATGTCTAGAATTTTTTCATCGATTTTGTGGAAAACCTGCTCTATAATTACTTTGGAACTCTGACTCTATAATTACTTTAGAATCTGTTTTTGTGGGTGGTGGTATAAAAAAATAGACATAAAAACTATATCTTTCAGGAGTTGTTAGATTTAATGTTACAAAATTTAAAAGGTGAGAAATGGAGAGTTTTTTGAAGGATTTATCTTTTTTAAATTAAAAATATGTAAAAGGGTTCAATTTCCAGATAAACAAAATTTCTTTCCGAACAAAATTTCTATTTACCCATGAAATAAGTGAGGTATCAAATTTTAAAAGCAATCAGCAAAAATTTAAAAACAGAAAAAAAGTTATTTATTTAGAGGCAAAGGTTGAAATTAAATAAATATAGTGGAGTAATTGGTAGGTTGAAAAAGTTAAAAGTTTTAGGCATATTTGTTATATATTACAATCCACTTCCTGGATCAGAGATGGTGAACCTATGATATGCGTGTCTGAAGGTAGCACATGGCAAGTGTTTCCTTTTATTCACTAGCATTCTTTGAAAACGTAAAAAGAGAAAAACTGCCAGCTGTCATTGTTGGAGAATCAGAAAAAATAAAGAATTTTGCTGCCATGCCAGTTTTACTTTAGAATTCTATGTTGTTGGAAATATCTATAAAAAAATTAAAAATATCTAGCATCTATTACCTCAATTGCATTTTATTGCTTACCACAAAATGTGCCCGCATTAAAATATTTTTACCTTAACTTACCCAAAAAATTTTCAAATAATGTTTATTCAATTTTTTTTTGAAACAAGCTAATAACTTAACAGGAAACATAGTTACACATTGTAATTCTATAGTTTAAATCAATATTTAATGGTAAAGATTATCTTTTAAGAGGAGATTTAACAAATGGCATACTTGTTGGCAATCTCTTTCTTGGATGATGCACTCTCTATCATTCATGCAATTGATGATTAATTTTTTATTATGTTTCAGCCTGTCCGATGTGCTAATCAAATTGAAGATGTGTGCAAGGAAATAGAAAAGACAATTAATAGGACTGTTCAAAACACGCTCAACACTTTGGAGTATGATTGTCACAAAATTGAGCAGGCTATTGAAGATAAAATCAGATATAACCAGTGAGTCTTTTTTCTTTTTTTTTCTTCTTTTTGCTTGCTGTAAATTATATATTTTTTTTTAAAAGAAAAACAATTCATTAAAATTGAGATAAAGCCTCATGAGAGCCCTAATTTTTATAACTGGCTATGCTTAGTCTTTTTTATGAGAATTTATGTCATCAAGTGTATTTTAATATGTGCCTTGCTTTCAGTTGAATATCTGGTTAGAGCTTTGTAGAACCTGCGATTATCTCATCTAAATTTATGTTAAGAACTACAGTTAATGCATAGTACTAGTCAGAATTATTCAGTGGTGAATGAGTGCATTGAATAAAGAGGTCATATTTGATAACAAACTAATTTATTAACAATAAAAACAAACCATATAATGCTATGTTATTTTTAGGGCTTCCCAATAAGCCATCCATTGCCTGCCATGCAAGTGACATCACCTTCTTTTGGTCTAGTAGAAATTCATAACACCTCCCACCTGAGCTCTTTTAAGTTCACTTGCCATAAATTAGCATAACAAAATTTTATCTTTAGATGGTCCTGATAAATTCCAATACTTATTTTAATTTTTTCATGATCTGCTTGTCATAAGCGAAGAAAGATTCATTTTCATGAATCTCATTTCGTTATCGTTAAAAAAATGTCAAGGCTCATTTAAAAAATTTCAAACATTCTTATTTTATTATGGGTTATTTTAAAACTGTAGAAGTATATTTATGTTTATCAAAAAAAAAATTTTTTTTTTTAATATTTTAAATTGTGTGTTTCCAACAAATAAAAAATATGTGCTGAGTAAATGTTTCTTGTAGAAACACATTTTTCTATAGTGGTTTGGTCTCAAAGGAAGATCCATACAGAGGTGTTATTTTAAAGTATTTAATTTTTTTTCTTCAAATATTTAAATATATTTTATACTGATTATCTCTCTTACATAATTTGATGCTAATCAAGCATGTCTTTGTATATTTTTAGGCAAAATCAATCTAGAAATTTTGTATCGGGAGCTAAAGGACTAATGTTTGGTGTATCAGGCATTGTCATGCTCTTTTGCTACTTCCTGGGTGTTCTGCTGTCCGGGTCTTCCATCGACACTTTACGAGGAATCATAGGACCGAGTTTAGCCGAAGTTTTAACTATGTACCTAGTAAGTTGTATCTTGATTTATTTTTTATTCAAATCTCTCATTTTATTTGATAATAAACATTGTAGCAGCTGTATGTGTTTTGTTAATTTAATATTTCATCCTTGTTCAGTTATGTTTCTGTTCAGTTACAATACTGTGATTTTCTAGGTTTCATAAGCTTAATAATCTATTTGGGATATTTGATATTAAATTGAGAATGCATTCCAGTTTATTTCCAAACTACCAATTTGAAAAAAAAGCATGACGTACATTTTTGCAACTTTCACTAATAATTTTATAGTAAATAATAGTTTATGAATCTGTTAAAATAAAAATAAAGCAATACCTATTCTATTTCCATAATTTGAGCTTCTGGTTTGCCTTTTCAATAATTTAACTATGAATTTCATTTTTGTTTAGTTTGAAAAGATTTTAACATTGAAATAATACATCACTGAATAGGGTGTTGTTTTTAAATCAATCTAATTAAAATTTTACCAGCATTATATTATTTTGATATTATTTGTTTTGAAATGGTAAATTTGTTGAATGCAATAACTCTTCATTAACTCTTCTTGATAGTTTTTTTTAAAGTTATGCATTTGCATATTTAAAAAAACATCTCCATAAGCCAGTGTTTCCCAAAGTGTGGTACGCGTACCCCCAGGGGTACGGGAACAGTTTAGTGGGGGTACGCGTTCTTATGCGAAATATCTTGCAACAAACGTAGATTTCAAAAAATTTTATTGAATAACAAAACTAGCCATGAAAATTTACGATTACGTATTTTTCTATTGACTATTTTTTGCAGAGTTATAATAGAGTTTTGCAGTTAATAATTAGTGGTGTCAACAGCCAGTTGCGATTTTTAACTTTAGTGCAATTTTTTATAGTAAAAAATACCTTCATTTTTTTAATTAGTTGTACACAGCGTTACGAAAAATTTAGAAAGGGTACACAAAAGTCATAAGTTTGGGAAACACTGCCATAAGCAATAATATTCTTAAAATTTGTATGATCTTGAAAAATTCAATGTTGATCAAATGTGAGCTAAAATTTATGTTAAGCAACTATCTAAAAAATTTCATTTGGATTCATTATTATCCTTTTTACTATTTTTATTTATTTATTTTTTTATTTTTTCTTAGGTTGTTGTTAAATATTCACATTGCCAGAAAATTTCATTTCATCTAATTATTAAAAAAAAGTAAAAAGTACTTAAATGAAACTATAAATTGATGTATAGTATTATGTACTAAATTGCAGATAGACAAGACTTATTTAACAAGCTACTACTTATTTTCATAGTGCTTTGTTTGACAAACTATATTAAACAAACTGTTTTTTTTTTTTTTTCATTCTCTTTTTTTTTCCCCTTTGCTTTATGTTTTAAAGTAAGTGTCATCTGCTGCCGTGAGTAATCGTGACATAAATAGTGTCAAAATCACTACAAATTGATAAAGATAAAAGTGCTAGCAATTGACTTTTAAAAAAAAAAAAACATTTTCTTATTAATAAGAACGAACACTCACTAGTTAAGTTTTATAAAACAATTGGTTTTATCAATCCAACTGAAGTTTCTGCCATCTGTTTTACTATCTAATGTTATTAATAGTTTTATTTTTATTGATTTAAACTAGGTTGGAAGCATTTCATTATTCAGAGGTTATTTGAACAAATTTCAAATGTTTTGTTTTTTGACCGGTATATTAGATTATAGAAACGCGGTATAATTTACATAAACTATTATTTAGTGTTAAACTTTATACATATCTTTTCATAGAGCTGCATTTAAGCAAATATATTGTTTGTTAATTCTACATACCAATTTGTCATCTTAATTTTTATTCACACACGTTTTTTTTAAATGTGTTTACTTTAGTTTTGTTTATTTATTTTATGTGCAAGATTCTTCAAATTCACATCATTCTACTTATTTATCATCTTCTGTTTAGACTAATTTTTTTGTTTTCCAATTCTTTGTTGCATTTTCATACTTGTCAAAAAATAAATACTGCTTAGTGTTTTCTATGGCAACCTTCACAAAAAGTTTAAAAATTAATCAGATAAATCTTTAAATTCATTGATTGGTAAAGATTAAGTACTCGTTAATATGGTTTATTTGGGTATCATTAACTTAGTGCGAAATTATGGTTTTTGTCAATTAAACTGCAATTTCTGCTATCAGTTTTGCTATCTAGAACTTTCAAATTTTTATTAATTATTTTTTTGCATATAGTAATTTGATTTTTGTACATTACTTTTATTTTATTATTTTTTGATCAATTGTTCTTTTTTTCAATCCTCTCGTTAAAAATCAAACAAAAGTTGTGTGCAATGTTTTTAACCTTATGAAACAACATTACTTAGCAATACCAATATAATATATTAAATGTTCTTTAGTTGCATTATTTTCTTTTTCTCTTATCGTTTTTGCCATTTTATGCCTTTAAAATTAGTAAATGTAAAATTGATACCGCACCCTGTAAACAAAATTATTGCGATCGATTTGATAAATTTGCTGCAATCAAAATATACTTTTTATTTGTTTTTATCTTTCTTTTTTCTTCTTTGGCCTTGTTTTGCTTTCCTTTTACTTTGAAACTAAATTATTGATTCTAAATGGTTGCTTAACCACTAAATGATTCATAATCCTCTTTTTTAGAAAGCATTTGAATACATCTGGTCTTCAGTATCTGATGATGATCATCTGACTATAACCATTTGTGTGATTATCATTGTAGCAATATTTTTTGGGTTGGCACATTGGTACATCAGGTAAGTGTCTAAGTTTTTTTTTAGAAAAAAATCTGATATTTTGAAATATATAATTTCCTTTTTATGAATGTCATATTATTATTGCAGACTGACGCCAACTTTTTCCAAAAAGCAAAAAATGGCTCTCTTAGAAAAGAAAGAATATCTCCAGAATGTAGTGATAAATAGAAAAGTATGTGCGCTTTTTTTCTTTTCTTTGTAGTGTTTTTTAGGCATATTTTTTTATATCTTAAAATGAACTTTCTAAAAAAACATATTAGAGTGGATTGCTCATGATTCAAAATCAGAATCCGTAATATAGTTTTTCTGAGTTATCACAACTTTTGTAATTATTGTTTACCTTTTACAAAAATAAAATGCTAGTACTATTACGTCTTTGGGCATTTAATTTCATTAGTTTGTAAAATTGTAATAGTTGGGCAGTTATTTTTTTCCAAATTGTTTTGTTAATTAACCTTGATTTTACGTAAATTAGAAACTTCAAAATTGTTTCCTTTGAGCTGAAAGATTTTAAATGTAATTATTTTATTTCATTATTAAAAGTTGTTGTAAGTTATGTATTTGCTCTAATTTTCACTAGTGTTTATTCCTTTTTTACCCTTTTTTTATTTATTACTCTTGCATGGTGAGCCAGCTTTTTATTTCTATTTTTAATTTACCTTAGCAATAAATAGACATATTTGTGATTTATATGAAAAAAATTATTCGTATATCCTTTGTTTAAACTCAAAGGTTAATAATAATAAAAATTCTATTTTTGAAAACTACTCAGGGGTGATTGTATTCCGAATGTACCCCGGAATTCCGAGTTGAAGCAGGGCATGAGATTTTTCCACGAATGTCTCAGAATTCTGCGCATTTCAAGACCCTATATTCCTGTACTTCTGCAAATCAAAAACTTTAATCCGAGACGAAATTTTGAAACCTTTTTCTAAATCCTGTTAATGATACGTTTACATGTGATTCTTTTGATTTAGCTGATTCTTAACCATCTTAAAAATTGGGAACTTATTGATGCAATTTTTATATCTATTTTCGTATATAAATAATTGAAATTTCGTATTTCAAAATTTCGTATATGAAATTTTGAAACCTTTTTCTAAATCCTGTTAATGATACGTTTACATGTGATTCTTTTGATTTAGCTGATTCTTAACCATCTTAAAAATTGGGAACTTATTGATACAATTTTTATATCTATATTCGTATATAAATAATTTAAAGTTATGCATTGCGATTCGTATTCACACAAGTCAAAAATTCAATATCTCTATTTATATTTATTCGTTTTTAAAATCTCATATCGTAATTCGTATTCATGTTAGTTTAAAATTCAATTTTGCGATTTGTTTTCACTCGTCTTTAAAATCCAGTATTGTGATTGGTATTTATACATAATTTAAAAACTACGCATCAGGTTTCGTATTCACGCGATCTAAAAATTCAATATCGCAATTTTCAAATCTAATATCGCGATTCTTGTAAGAAGTAAGTTTTTTTTTTTTAGTTAGTTACTGTAAATGTATCTTATTCTTCATTAGTAAGTAGTAATTTAATTATAAATATTAGTTAAAAAAAATTAAGTTCAATTTGAAACTTGTATGGTATATAAATTGATATCTTGATATAGATTTTTTTGCACTTAAAATTTTCTGGGTTTTTCACTTTGAGACACAATCAGCCCTGTTAATGTTTGCTATTATATAATTAATATTATTTCTTTCCTTCAATTTCAGAGGCAACTGTACGATGACTATTTAAGGCAGAGCGTTGCTGAACATGAACTGTGATATTAAGCAGCTACCATTGTTTAAATTCTGTCATCCACTATTGAATCATTATTTTTCTCTTTTCATGAGGACCTCAGGAATCATTTCATTCCACTTTTTATTTAAATAATTTTCTAAAAAGATCTGATCGTTTTGTTTTGAAAATCAAATACTGTTCTTTAAAACTGTTTGTTTAGCCTGTTATTATGTTGCAATAATAATAAAAAATAACAATTGAATTTTTCAGCTCACAATTTAAACAGTACTAATAAGTTATCAATATAATGAAATCTTTCTTTTATAGTATTAGTTTAGTTTTGTAATATAGTAAAAAAAAAATGCATGAATTTTGAGATGAATTTTATACTTTTGTAACCATAAAAGAAAGCTATCAGTGTCAAAAGTAAACTGATTTTTAATAAATATTTTATTTGTCGCATTGCTTGTTTTTATTGTGAATTTATTGAACATACATCTCAAATCATAAAAAGTTTTTAAAAAAGTCAAGTGATTTTTTTTTCAGAATTGTTAGACTTTTAACTGTAAGGTAAATTTATTTCCTTTGAAACTTATAACTGAAAAGTAAATTTGAAGGTTTAAGTTAAATATAAACTAAACTTAGTTGCAAAAGTTGAATCTTAAATTTTTATATAAACTTAGTTAAGTAATTGCGTTTGAGTAAATTCGGGTAAGAATATTGAATTCTATATTTTTTTAAATTCATAATACTATGACTAGCCTATTTAGGGAATGTTTACTATAATTAATCTATGATTTTAAAAGTTGCAGCTTAATTCTTCATTACACTATGATTTGTCTTTTTAGGAAATATTCACTATAATTAGTCTATAATGTTAAAAGTCGCAGCTGATAGGGAAAAAAGTTCTAAGCTTCTCTTTTATGCTGAAAAATACAATTTCAACTCTTAGTGAGTACCATAAACACCTCTTTGACTGCAATAATTATCAGTTTAAGGAAAAATGTAATTTCTTTAAATGTGAAAAAATTTTGTTACAACATATGTAATGGCATAATGATTGTCACGTTTAAGGCAGTGCTTATAGTTGTGAAGAAAAAAATTTTTGAATTAGTGTATTTAGTATTATTTTGTGTGGCCAGGATAGCCTGGTCGGTAGGGCGCTGGGCCCATGTTTGTGGGTTCGTACTGCGCCGGCCGAAGACTCCCCGTGTAGTTGGTGACTGATGCACATTAAAACTCTGTCAGGTCGTAAAGTCCTCCATGTTCCCATAACGAATCAATGCCTCTGGGGGTACTGGATTGGAGATCGATCGTTCTCTGATTCAAGTCAAAATTACGATCTGTGGATGAATGAATGGGTCCGCCTTATAAGCAGGTGTGACGTATGATGTGGCAGAAGTCGAATTATTGGCCATAGATGGCGCCACTGATGAACAAGAATCGCACTCTCTGCCTTAAATTTGCTCGGTTTCACCAAGCAGTATTATTTTGTTTATATTTATTGTTTTTAACATACAGCATCTTGGATTTTACTTGTGACGAGAGAAAAATTTCCCTCAAATAATGAAGCAGGATTCTGAAGTACATGTTTTTTTTCCCAACAACTTCCTAATACTTGAAATCATTTAAATTTTTTGAAAGTTAATCATGTGGCTTTTAACTACATTCGGGAAATATATTTATATGTCTGTTTAGGGTTTTGTTTTATATATTAATCAGCCAGGCGCATTCAGTAGTAATAGGATACTATTCCAATTTCGGAATTTTTTTTTCTTTCCATTGCACACACAGTTATAAGAGCCATAATTGTTTAGGTAAAAGAGCGATGACTTCCCTATGAGGTGAGCCAAATTCGAAACCAAGCGATGGCTGGGCGATACTAATTCCGTACCCAGCTCTTACCGACCACAGTATTGATGTAAAATATCCTCAGTGGTAGATGAATTGTGGGTTAGAGTCCTCTTACCGCCAGACTAATTGTGTTAGGTTTTCCTCTCCATGTAACGCAAATGCGGTTTAGTTCCATCGAAAAAGTCCTCCACGAAGGCAAAATACTTGATCAAGGAAGCTCCATTGTCTTCTGGATTAGATTCAAAATGACAAGACTGCGAAGTTGAACATAGGCACACGCAAAATGGAGTCGGCTTTTGAACGTCGGTTATAAAACAGTTAAGAAGGAGACCTCGTATCAATCTGATTCAGGTTCGAATCCTGCTCCTGTCTCACACGGTGCTGACGCAAGATGTCATTAGTGGTAGAGGAATCTTGGATTAGATTCCTACCGCATTGATCTAACGGTTAGAGATTTTAATCTCCGTGTAACGCAAATGCTGGTTAGTTCCATCATAAGTCTTCCATGAAGTTAGTTTTCCTCAATGTTTAATCTATGAGTTTCCTTGATTTCTGGATTGGGTTGGTCGATTGGGGCCGTATATTCATTACGTAAGCACCTGGCAGTGAGAGGGGATATATGATTTGATTAGGTGTGGAGAAGTGATATGAACAATGCTTACGTAAGATTTTCTTTTCATTTTCACATTTATTTCAAAATCAGGAGAGAGAGAAAATTATGCTTAGAAAAACTTCTCTTTGAAATAAAAGTTAAGTTAAGAGAAAGAAAATGTATTGTATGAATTTCAGATATCAAGAGTTTTAATCACTGAAGAAAGACAGAAAAGAATCCAAAGAAATATTCTTCCCAAACATTTATAAAATTAATTGAAACAATTAATTTTATAAATTCCATTAACAAATAAAATTAATTGAAACAATTTTATTTTGCGCGAATTTATTCGTTTAATTAAATTAAGTTAATTCCCGTTCAATGGAGCACTGAAAAATTAAATAGGAAACAATAGCCCACTTGCATACCGAAGAATATCAAATGGATACAAGTTCAAAATTGCACATAGCCCGTAAAATCATACTTTCTAAACCATTAACTCGGCGTCTGTTTGGTCCCATTAAATTCAAGGTTAAAAAGAAACATTCGAAAGAAAAAAAGTTTTCTTCTAGAATAAACGTATGACACACAAGAAGTTCATTCTATATTACCTTCATTCCATTAAAATTCCCTGGCGACGCAAAAAGAAAAAAAGCATTTTTAGCTATCAAAAGCAGATCGAAAAAAAAACTACGATATTTGGAGCTCATCATGAGACATGATGCGTAGCGTTTTTAAAAGGTGCTTATTTTGCTTTTTTCATTGGGTGTTTTTAAAAAGTGCTTAATTTTCCCTTTTCGAAAGTGAGATTTTTTTCTTCTTTACCATGCTGATTTTCGCCATGAATTATGCAAAAGCGCGCTTTTCACGTTGTTCTATTCAACGTTTTCACAATTCATTCAACCACAATCTATTTCGGCGTACCGTCGGTCCATAGCGCATGAAAGGGCCAATCATTTTACATGTTAATGAAATACTTGCGACTCCGCATGTGCGTCTACTGAGTTGGGTTTGGTGAGATTATTGCACTTTCATGTGCAACTCTGCTGTATTTTGCAATTTTAGGCTTCATTTTCCACCCTCTGATGTCGAGCCAAAAAATTTCTCGATCACTTTATAATGGCTAGTATAAAGAGTTCTTTGTCAGAAACTAGTTATTTTATCATCATCATGTAAAGTCTTTGAAAATTATTTTGCATTTTGTTAATGTATATAGTGCTTAAAAATATTTTTGAGTGCTTAAAAGGTGCTTATTTTTTGTTAAAAGATTTGACTAGGCACCCTGCGAGATTTTCCAGCACGACGGGGGACTAGTCACCACTTCATGAAAAATGAATTGCCTCTATAATTAACTTAACAAACCTATGACACACAACAAATTTATTCTATACTAGCCGCCTAAGGCGGCCAGCTGTCCGCCACGCTGACGGTTTTCTCAGATAAAGTTTTTTAAAACATAGCAGGAAATCTGAAGATTAGTGGACAATTGGGTATAATATGAAAAAAACACAACTACTTCGATTTAGTAGGAACAACATATGACGCAATGCTAAACGAATGGAATTTAGTTGTTGTTTATTTAGTTATTGTTATTAGTAGTTGTTGTTATTTGTTTTAGTTGTTGTTGTTTATTTAGTTGTATTTAGTTTCAATAACTTTTCTTTATAATGCAATAAAATCTGGCGAGCAGCTATTTAAACGATCGAACACTTCGTTTGTTTATTTGTGGCTTGAAGTTAGGCTCGCAGAAAATGCCGTTCATGGGTTAAATTTAGTAGGA